CATGAACAGGGGAGGGGCATTGAGAGAGAGGCAGGACCCAGAATCTGAAGCAGGCTCCAGGCTCTGAGCTGTCAACACAACACCCAACATGGGGCTTGAACCCAAGATCATGACCTGAGCCAAAGTCTGATGCTTAACGGGCTGAGCCACCCAGGTGCCCCAGTCAGCCTTTTTCTTTAAGGCTCTCACTTTTGTGTTCTACTTAGAACTAGGTCTTTCACTGTCCAATATTATAAAAATACATCCCTAATTGTATTTTCTTTTGGTACTTTTTACATTTTCATGAGCATTTATGGAGAACAAATGATACTGACTTTATTAAAATTTTTCCTTTTATGAGAAATTCCTCTTTTAGGATTTATCCTAAAGAAATAATAGACACAAAGTTTTAGTTTCAAGGATATTCACTAAAGAATTTTTTATAATGACCAAAAAACTGTAAGCAATGATAAGTTCAACACCAGAAGACTGATTACATCAATTATGGTATATCCATAGCCATTAAAATGACACTAAAAATATTTAATCATATTAAAACATGTTAATAAACATAAGCACAAATATGCTAAGATGTAATACATAAACACCAAAAAACAATTTTAGCTAGGCACAGAAGAGTAAGATTGTATTTACACGACAGTGGTTAGTTTTGGTACCAGAAATAATGAGTGATCTTTTCTCTTATTTTTTTCTGCCATGAGCATGTATAAAGTATGAAAAAAGTTTAAAATTTAGTGTACCCTGTGATTACACAGTGTATAGTGGTGTTTTCGTAGCTACGGGTGCCTTAGACTAGAGATTGTCTTCAACCTTACAAATATAACTTTTGCTTCATCCAATAACCTTGAGCAAGTTGGTTAACCCTTTTGTACTTGAGTTTCCTCATCTTTTAAATAAGGATAATAATACCTATCTTGATTTCATTCAAAAGGAAGGTGTGTAGGGGCGCCTGGGTGGCTCAGTCGGTTAAGCTTCTGACTTTGGCTCAGGTCATGATCTCATGGTCTGTGAGTTTGAGCGCCCCCTCCCCCCCCTTCAGGCTGTGTGCTGACAGCTCAGAGCCTGGAGCCTGTTTCAGATTCTGTGTCTCCCTCTCTCTCTGACCCTCCCCCTGTTCATGCTCTGTCTCTCTGTCTCAAAAATAAATAAAAAAAACAAAAACAAAAACAAAAACAAAACAAAAGGAAAGTGTGTAACTGTTCATAATTCACTGTAAGCTATATAGAAAATATGATTTACATTCAATTACATAAACATCATTGCTTTTTTGGCTTAAACCCCTTTCTTGAGGTGTGACTGACATACAAAAAGCTGTACATATATTTCTTAAAGCTTTTATTTCTTTTTTAAGTTTACTTTTTTTTTTTTTTTAGTAATCTCTACACCCAACATGGGGCTCGAACTCATGACCCTGAGATCAAGAGTCCTATGCTTTTTTGACTGAGCCAGCCAGGCCACCCACAGTACTATTGAATGTATACAAATTGGAGATAAATACACACCTGTGAAACCATCACCACAATCTATTTCATAAACATATCCATCACCTTCCAAAGTTTTCTACTGCCTACTTTATTATTACTTTTTTTGTGATACAGACATTTAAGACCCACCTTCTTAGCAAAATTTTAGGTATACAGTACAGTATTGTTAAATACAGGCACTATGCTATACAGGAGATCTTTAAGACTATTCACCTTATATAACTGAAATGTTGCACCCTTTGACTAATACCTCTCATTTCCCTCTCTCCCCAATCTCTGGCAACAATTACTCCAATTTCTGCTTCTATGAGTTTAACTAAATACCTCATAGAGGTGGTATCATGCAATATTTTTCCTTCTGTGTCTAGCTTATTTCACTTACCATAATGTCCTCCAGTTTCAACCATATTGTTACAAATGGCAAGATTTCCCTCCTTTTTTAGGACAGAATAATATTCCATTGTATGTATATGATTATTGTTTTTAATGTAAATTCGATGGAAACATTAGTTCAATATTCTTACTTAGCTAAGGAAAGAAAAAAAGAAGAAACAGAAGAAAAAGTTGTCTACCAAATTAAACTGCAAGGGAAGATAAATTATTCAACAAACATATACTAATCCCCTACTATGTGCCAAGCATGGATTGGGATAGGGAATTATAAAAGTGAGTAACACATAGTCTCCATTCTCAGGTACTTCAATCTGGTAGATGACACATGTCAATCCCACAGACAGAATCATAGGCTATTGTCCCTAGAACTAAAGAGGCAAAGTGCCCCCACCAAAGCAGTAACTGTCAAGTTTGACTATCAAAGATCAGATGAACCAGGTATAGGATGTCAGCCTCACAGCAGTTATAGTGAGACAGTATCAAGGTAACCTACAGAATTTTACACAACCTAAAGTGAAATTAGGGGATAAATTGGTTGGGGAATGCCCCATTCTTGAGGGGTTCCCCTGGTAAGCATAAGGGGGAATCCCCTTAAATATGGTAGAACCCCCAACAGTAAATGTAGGGGCTAAGGGGAGAACAGATCCCTACTTGCTAGCAGGAGACTGGAAGGGGTGGGGGAATTCTTAAAAACTCCATTTACAGAACAGGAGATCCCCTTATGTTACTCAAAGTTCCCTCATACATACAGCTGTTTTGAGACGTTTGTGATTACTATCCTCTTGAACTTTGATTTTGATTCCATCTCCCTTAAGGTTTAGAGGAAGACCTTAATATTTCTTTATATATATCAGGAAGACCTGTATATTTATATAGAAAAAACAATAAAAATATAAATACATACACATACATACACCACACACTCACACTATTTGGCTGTTAGGAGTTCAATAGTCCTATAATTTAAGTCATTTACTTGTACCATTTGAATCTAAAGTTCATTCCCAATTAATCCATGTTTAAATATAATTCCAGACAGAAGACAAAGTGGATTTTACAAAATATAAGGTAAGATATATGTCTGAGAAAAATACAGTCCTGACACAATTCACACCAGTAGGGATTCAAACATTTTTGGTGGTTCTAGTGCTACCAGAAAGCAAAAATAATACTAGCAAAATTCCTATTATGTACTAAACATATAAGATGAAAAGAAGCAAAGATGTTCATTTAACAGTTTGGAATGAAAATAATTTGTAAAGTTGAAATAAAAATTCTTAAACCCACTTTCACTTACCATTACCTTAATCCTAGATGAGCAATTAACTTTAGTAACTCTTTTTATGGGAGAGGCACTGGTGGTTAAAATACAGTAAATAATGTATTTATTTGCAAAGTGCCTGGAATTGAAAAAATGCATTAAGGACAAAGTACTGTATTGTTATAGCATTCTTCCATATATTACATGGAAGCACATATTATATGTACCCCAACAGGCAGAATCCTATCTTCTCCAAGGTACAGATTAGGTCAATGTCATGAGTCTAATGTCTCAGACTTTCCAATAACTAAAACAAAGCAGGACAAAATGAAGAAAAAAAAAAACCACCAACAATGCCAATCTGAGGATTTGTATCAGAATTTGAAGCTGTTGATCACTGGTGGGCAGGTGACCATATGGATAGGTGATAATATGATCATTACTGGAAAAATAATTCAAAGCCAAAATCTTTTTGTGGCAGGTTAATGTATCATTCTTTACATTAAAATTACATTTCATCTAAAAGATAGAACTAATATTTTTTTGTTTCATATACAACACCGTTCATTTATACTGGTACTAAAATTATAGAGAATTTAAGTGGAAGTTGCTTTGAATAAATCTATACAATCAATAGCATATATGAGTCTGGATGTGCATGCATATGTATAGCCATTGAAAAATATTAATATTAATGGTATTTTATAATATGTCTGGGAAACTGCTTTTTAAAGCTAACCTTGAGAAACATACCATATTCCTTACTCCACATATATATTCAAATTTTTAAATAATTTTCTTATTTGAAACATAGAAATTTCAAAAGAACAGAATCATCAAACTTGAGGACCTAAAAATTGTAACACATGCTCTTTATTAAACATAAAATTTCCCATTAATATTTAATGCAGATTATTAAGGCCTCTAACCATAGATAATTTGTAATTGTAGAGTTTGTATTTCCAATTTTTTTTCTATGCACATTCTAACATATAGTAATGTAAAAAGTGTACCCTGTCATATAAATGTCCTTTTTCCCTTTTTCAAGAGTAATTATCTTGAACATATTTCATATTAGTTTGTGATTAAACTTTCAATATATTTCTTTAAAAAGTTAAAAAGCCTCGCCATAGTTTGAGAACATCTTTTTTTAACCTGAAATAGGTTTGAAAAAAAAATAATTTAAAATTTCACATTTTAAAACAATAAAACGAGTCTAAACACTTTAGATTAGCTAAATTTAGCATACTAAAATTACAAAAAAAGGAGAAGGGCTCTAAATTGGAAAACCTTCTTCTGAAAAACTCGACCAAGATTATGAGTTTCGTTTCTAGCTCAATCTGTTCTTTTAATCATTCTAAATTCCATACGCAATGTAAACAATTAAAAAATAAGTCTGAAAAATTAATTCTTGTCTTAAGACACACAGTCCTTGGAGTCGCACACAACGTCCGTAGAAGCAGACTCCTCCCCGCTCCTGGGGAAAACCCTGCCTAATATTTATAACGTTATGACATACTGTAATACTCACAAGGTGGTTGTAGAAGTATAAACACGACTGGAGTTATCTGATTGGCTGGTGGTGATGTAACACCCATGTCAATACTTCCCAGTGAACGCACGTGTTCGACCTTTTATTTAAATTTCCATTTCATCACAGCAATAAGACACTCGGGGCGGTGCATTTTCTGTGAAATGATTATTGCCTTGGGCCTGAGGTGGTGCCTCGCACACACAATGCTGCAGACGAGGAGGTGTCGGTGGTTGTAACCTCCTCGCGTGAAAGGCACCGCCTGGTCCAGTCTTTGTGAAGGAACAAAATAAGTTCACTTCCTTGGGTACCGCCACCCACCCCTAGGCAAATGACAAGGCTGGAGCGCAGCTCCCACCGCACAGTTATTTCTAAAGTCCCAGGTGAACTCGTGGCGAGAGAAGGAAAATGTGCGTCCCGGCCGCGGGTAGGTGCGTGTGGGCAGCGGGGAGGCGGCCAGACCCTGACACTCGCCAGCTGTTTGTCCTCCGCGTAGCCCGGCCCCGGCCG